CTGTTGTTCAAATGCTCCACTGTGTTAGTCCGATTGGTACACACGCGTCATTTTAATGGACGCTCATCTCGGTGTCATATTCAGGAGTGCGATGTGCAAGAACACATTCCATTGGTTTTTTCTTCTCATCACTGTTCTACTTGGTTATGTTAAAGGAATATTTAGTTGTCACACAATTATTGTGTCTGCATTGGGTCTGCACTTCTTATTCTCGTTTGGTTCGTGACATTTGTTTAAAGGGTGCATTTCGTTATTCTGATGAGACAGTGTCCGTCACTGAAACTGGATGTTCGCTTTACGCTTGGGGTCCCATGATGTTACTTTTTAAGGACATAGGCGATTTGCTCTTGATTACACGTTTGCTTACTCGCCCTTTGCATTTGACGTTTTTCCTTCTGTTAGTTGGCTCAAGTCTAATTTAGTAGCTTCCCTTCATTTGCCCACAAAATTATATAAGCAAATGCGTTTTCAAGTATACAAGTCTGTTTCCGGCTCGTTTTTGGACTTCTCCTTGCAGTCGTGGCTTGCAGAAGTCAGTGGAGACAACACACGGGATACCCGAATAGTAATCGCACTTCGAGCTTTATTACGTATCCGATAGTTATTGTGACGCAGGTCCGGAAAAATACGGTTGTTTTTGTGAAAGTATTTCGCCACTATAGCCAAGTCACGAAATCGAGTCATCTCAGAATTTCACTTCACTACATTAGGAAGTTTACATCCGATGAAATTCGCACCTCAGCCGACGGTCATTTACAAAGTGGCTTTGATCTGAGAACATGATCGTGATTTCCTGGATAAAGTCAACCATGTATTAGACGAAGGAATATTTAAGCAAATCGAACAATCTTCTCTACTTGTGTGGTATGTTGCGCGGGTCTGTGGTGTTAAGTATGAATGCAATCCCGATTACAGTTACTTAGGAGTTGGTTTTCCTCCCCCACACCTGTTACTGCCATAAAGGTCAGATGTCAGTTTCGGGTGGTCTGTTACAGATGAAAAGACGGGGATTCACTTACCTTGCCGGGTGGTCTGCTGGTGCTTGGAAACCGCAAATAATCAGCAGCTAGGGAATCGTGAATCAAATGTTTTATCGAGATGATCGCTTTCATTTAACCGATTGCAATTAATATGACGTTACTGGTTTTTCAGGAATCAGCTATCGCGTTTTTGGCCGGAGCATGGGATGTTGTGCAAAGGAGCAAATACAATAGCAGCTATAGCTTTAAATGTAGTCAATGTTGGTGAAGCGTCAACCTACTCCGGGAGGACTTATCAAGCGTAACAAACGGGCATGCCCGCCCTGCCTAGTTAGGGACAAAATGGAGTTCGAGAGGTTTATGAGAGTAGGTACCAAATTGGTCGAGGGGTTAAGGGGCAAACCTACCCCTTGATCATACTTAACTTGGATATGCATTGAATGCCCTACCGACGGCTTCGAGGAGAACCACTTGTTACTTAGCGAATTTTGGCGGCGAAGGTTGGGCAGAACTTGAGCTGACTATTTAGCCCGGCTAGGTTGCCTTGTCTTCGCGGTCATCCCATGAAGCTACACAAGCCGCCTTCCGACCGGATCAGAGTGGACACTCGGTTATCGCATTCAAGTATCTAGCTCTGGAATTCGCTTCCAGAAAGTGTGATCGATGAACTTACCGTTAAGGGTTGCAAGCGTCAGTTAGGCGCTCCTGGGTGGCAACACGAAATCTTTCCCTCCTCCTGACCATCTCCACCTTCCAATTTTGAGGTCATATTCTGTCATACTCCTCACTCGTTGGTGTTATCTTTCATTTAAATGACTTCCCTTCCATTTAACTTTCTTTATTTCTACGTCTTCCTTACTTCACTTGATTTACATAGCGAGGACCTCTATTGTAGGGAACGTGGGCAATAATTGCTTGACCAGGGTGTGCTTCGAGTGCCTGGTTTTAGATCTATCAAAACCTCGTAACACCTTAACATTTCCTGGCTTAACGATCCGCTCAAGAAAGAATACTCAAGGGATTTTCATTTCATTTCAATCCAATCTGCGTCAGCATCTGAAAACACGTATGAACAATGAACAATGATTTATAACGGGTAAAAAGCAGGTGCTCGACATCTCCCGTAGGGTGTTTAGCGTGACAAAAAAAGATAGCGAAGGGCTAATGGAGTCGTCAGTTCGGGCGCTTACAGATGTAACTACACTCTCGTATAACGGGAGTTTGAAATGACAATGTACGCACACAAATCAATAAGGGGAGTGGATATTGATCACATAATGGGCGAGAGAAAAAATAAAAAAGTGCAAGCACAACACTTACTCGTGTGTAACTAGCTTGGGTCGACAGGAAACAGGAATCCAGTTTCTATAATAGTAGCGTTTATCAAATTTCGTGCAAGGCGTTTGAAGTGACTCATTCTCGAGTAGGGTTATGGTACTGTCCACTGTCTGTTGTGCATTAGTGCCAGCATCTGGTGGTCATGGACTATAGCACGTAGTGTGTTTGTGACAGGGTATCGTCAAGGCGTATTTTGAAAAGGGATAGGGTGGGCGCATTAATTACATGTTCCGGGAGGGCGTTCCAAGGCTGTGCCACTCGAAGGGAGAAATAGTTTCGCCGACATTCCAGTCGGCTGTACTGCGTGACTAACTTAAACTGGTGACCTCTTAGCGAGGTGTTTTGACTGAGTATCAGAAGGGAATGGCATGGGTGCTTGGGGTTTCTCAGGATTTGGTACACCATTATTAGATCACCCCTTAGACGCCGATAACGTCCACTGTATACTTTGAGGGTCTTCAGCCTGAGTGGGTAGGGGATGCTGGTCAAACCTCTGACGCTCTTCGTTGCCTACGTTGTGCAGTATCGAGCGCGGTGAGATGGTGCTTGAGCCAGGGTTGCCACGCTTGAATAGCGTATTCCGCGTGTGGCCTCACGTACGCACTAAGCATTTTTTGGAAAGATCGAAGGGTCAAACTTCCTGAAGGCTCTGCGAAGAAGGCCGAGGTACTGGTTCGCTTTCTTAGCTGCCTTTTCAGTCTGCCTCGAACAACCGAGGTCATCTTGAACTATCACGCCGTGATCGCACTCGTGAGAAGCCCGCTATAGAATTTGTGGTCCTAGGCGGTATTTGTGCATACTTCGCACGTTTGAGATGGTGGCACATCATCTTGCTACCGACTGAGCTTCAGGAGGTACCGACATGTGTGACCGGAATAAGTTCGAATCGGATGGGCCACACTAGGTTTACCACTTCCGCTGAACAGTCTTAGCACTTTTAGACTCCGTTTGTAGGCTGAAACATGCAGGCTTTTGATTTTATGATTACTCGAATGTGAAGAAACACCGAAAAGATGCGAGGTTGCTTTTGTGCTGGTTGTCAGACTCGAATGTCATATTGCACTTGAGAACTTAAGTTAGAAGTAGACAAGTGGGTGCAATTGACGTGTCTGATCATCCGAATGTTCACCGCATGAGATTCCACGTTTTAAATACATTTTACTGATGTTATTTCAAACTGCGCTAGGAATTTATACCTCTCTCACTAAGAGCCTCGAGATCCCCTGCACCATATTTTTCAGAATGTCGGTGCCATAGCTTAAAAGGGGGATTCCCTATGTGTCACTAAAGTACAATTCTACATTTGACGAGGTCGAAATGAAAACGATGGCTTGTCGTGAGCGATCTGAACTGATTCGATCACCCACCATGTGTTGATGCTGGTTGTAAGTAGTGTGATAAGTTGTTCCAGGTCGCTAACAGAATGACAGGACAGACTTGCCTATATTCCCCAAACTCCTGTTATACGACAATTGACATCAACCTATGTACGTTTAAATGCAGACGTCCTAGTTGTAGAATGTTACTGTGGAACCCTGGGAGCGGAGTAATAATTTCTACCTCTGAAGTTCTGAAAGCAGAATGTGACAATCGGGTCAATTAGATACCTTGGTCAAGTCCAAGAAAAGCATGGGGAACACTGCTGTTCCAATGAATAGGACTATCGCTAGAAGCAAGGTGGTAATGCACTACTAATGTTTATGGAAGTTTTGTTGTTTTTGAGCGATATGACCGAAGTTATTTAGTTACTCCATCAACACATCAGTAACATTGGCCTGCATAATCTCTTAAGGTCACTGAACTGTAGGTCATAATTGCTACCCGCATGACTGCAAGGATCCCCCGGGTAAACTGCCTTCTCCATCAATACTGGCGGTCACCTTATCTACATCTGCCGCTTAAACATATGGACTTTTTGTCTCAGAAGCTTCCAGATCTGACAGTTATCCACATACTTAATGATTTACAAACAATCCCTACTCCCAAGTATAGCCAACTGTTCGCCGTCACAACTTATAATTGCCATGCCGCACATTGCTGCTCACAGTGGTGTAATTCGTGACTTTGAGGTCAACTCTGTCCCCTGCATGGCAACGGAAAAGGAGTCGCACTATGACGCTGTCAGCACGTAACTCATGCTTGTCGGCCACTGTACCCTGTGGCTCAGTGGTGCAAGTTGTTGTCTTGCAGCGCAAGCCGCTAGTGTTCTTGTATTCGGATTCTGATGGCCATAAAATGCATAGGAACTGCTGAGGAGAGCCAACAGGTAGAAACAACCGTATAGCATTTTTCCAAGCATATGAAGGACAATCTGATTTGGAAGCTATTGGGAAGAAAGGATTACTTATTTAGATCGATATTCCCCTGCTAATGTGTAAATCCACCAGTGACGGAGCTCTACTCAGACTAATTGTATACGAATTAGTTTACTGTTCCGTGAGCTATTGTATATAGTGAATTGTGGCTCAATAACCAAATAGCCGATTGTATCCAAGCCGTTACGAAATGCGAGCAAGCAGCTTTCGCCTGGAGCACACAAAAACTGACGCAAAGTAAGCCGGATATATGACACCACGACTTTCTAACTGGTATGTCTTACGTGTACCGGCTTAATTACTGTCTTTCCGTTTGTACAACTCACACACGCACATGACGTTTTGTCCCCCTCTTGATTATCCGAAGCTTTGCATCGGTTCAACACTCTGCCCCGAACCTCACAGGGCCACACGAACAGAGGGGTCTGGAACGATTCTCTGTCCACCGAACAGCTGGCCACAATGTACCGCCGTGAACCGCCTCCATTGTTCACAACTCACCCCCAGGCATCACTCACCGAGCACACCTTACCCACTAGTCACAATAGTGGTGATTGTTGCCTTTCGAAACAAATTAACCTCATGCGTGACCCAGTTCTGGTCAGACATTGCAATCATTGGCCTCTAGGCGATCAAATCACTTGCGGTCAAATTAGTGTCAGAGGGAGCACAGTTGATAAAGGAGTTCGCCAGGAAGCAGTACACAGCTCCGAGACAACCGATCATATGGCACAGACTGTCGAGAACCTGGTTGATCATCAGACTTCAGCGACCGCGGAGGTTTTGGAGACACGTCTGCAGCAGTTGTACGAACGAAGAAAGCGAATGTTGTCACAACTGTCCGATGAAGAGCGAAAGCTTCATCGGTTATTATGTGAGGAAATGGTGAGTTACGTTTGAAAGTCTCAGTATTTTCATGTGACCAATGAGAGTCTAGTTTTGACAGATCAATAGATACCACAGTTTTACATTCCCAATGGCAGCTTGATTAGATTTGGATGTGTGAATCCGCGCATATACTGAGACGCACTGCCATTTTGCGTTAAATTAACTTTGTTACGCTCATCAGGTAAAGGTCGTCGCTAGAGAGGGTAGGAAGCTGTCGGAGGTGGGGGTGATCTGGACAAATTTCTTATATGCACGCAAGTCCTGATTACGAGAACGTATAGTGTTGGATTTGCTCTTATTAATGAACTAGTTGATCGATTAGGATTCATGGTTGTACGGCAAATGAATTCAACTACTTCGTTTGCACTGATCCCACCGCGGTGAGTGCACTAATTACAAGCGTATTGAGCTGAATACTGTCTTCCTTAAACTACTGTATAGAGACGTTGGGTAATGTCCTCTAACTGTTTCAGCTAGTCACCTGCTCCTTTCTCCAACACTGTTTGCTGTAAAGGAACAGGAGAAAATGCACGGGAATGTTTTGTGCGTATACAACAGTCCGTTCTTGAACTACCGGCGCAGAACTCGTAGTTACAATTAATAGATAAATACACAGTCATGTTTCCAGATAAACTGGATACCTTACCATTTCACGGGACATTATTTGCACAGAGCATCTGCAGTATCCCTTTGAAGGATAGCTAAAGCTTACATAATTCTAATTTCACAACAGTTTTAAAGATGTTGGGAGTCATTTTGAAGTACACTTTGTGTGGATGGATTGTGACACGCAATCGCAATGTTGACCCCAATTCCCATTGAATTTAACCTTGGTCTTTCAATCACGAGGACCGTAGCTGCTGCAAATAGAAATTGCTTGTTGTCCACCCGAAAACACTGTACTACTATGACGTGTTTCAATGTTATTGCATCTCATCGGATAGAGTTAGCAGGCATCGAACCAGGGACTATTGGAATGTTAGTTGTGACCTCCACCCCTAAGCCACCGGGTCACGATGGGGAACGCTTGGCACAACGGTTTATTGAACAACGTTGAGCGCCTTTTTAAAGTACAGGTTGTGTGGATGAATTGCGGTGGGCAATCTCGCAACTAACATCCCAATGATCCGGGTTCTATGCCTGCTAACTCTCTGATGAGGTGTAATAACATCGAAACGCGTCATTGTGTAGCTTTAAAGATATTCGTGTTCTGAGTAGTTGACTTGTTTGCTTATCTTGCACATACATAGATGCAGTTCTTCGGCAATCGGACGCTTCTATTTTTATAACAAATCCCCATTGGCTCCTGATACGTTTCCCTGAGCGACGGATAAATCAGATGCTATATTGGGTATCCTTTTAAGGGCAACTTAAGTTCCCATTCCGTGTGAAGCATCGAACACCACCTCCACCCCCTTTGTCTGCGATCGATTTGCGTCTATGTACAGATCAATGGTTGTGTGACATGGAATCTGTGTTGTCAGCTGTGGGATGACCTAGGTTACAAGTGGACAACATAGATAATCCGGCGGAGAGTATAAGTAAACCGTCCAAGTAGCACTTTCCGATGGCTGCTATGGTGAAACTTCGAGTGATCCATTCTGCTACCATGCGGCCCTTAAATTACAGTTCGCAGTTAATCTGCTAATTCGCTGTGGAAGCAAAGTTGAATTTTGGTCTTTATAGCTCCATATGCTTCTGGAAGCATTTTGTTAGAACGCAAGGCGTCACTACGTGTCACGTATGCAGTCCAGGTTTCGACATTCCAGCAGTCCTTGTGAGCTTGTCATGCCAAATCCCTCCGGGACGTAGATTTACGTGTTTTGTTCCTCGGAAAAAAGTTTCGCTTGTTTTTGTGCTGGTAGGACTTATGTAGCGATGCTTGCGCTACCGTTGCGTTAAACGTCCTTATAACGGTTTTGCAGGCAACACCTGGGGGCATTCGGTTAAGGAAGTCCAAGATGTATCTTTAACAGGCGTAGCTAACGCGTTATATTGCGTGACATTATGCACTCTATCATCCTCCTTTTCAGGATACACCGCACAGCATAGATAGTCAAAGAGTAGAGTAACATGATCAATGCGACCCACTGGTGTGCTTGCAACTATCCCGCCTACCATGAGTTCTTCGGTAGTTAGCACAAGATCCAGTATCGAGGGCTTGTTAGCAGTTCGAAATCCGGTGAGAGAGGTTACGTGGTTGTACAGAGGGTGGCTAGCAGTTGGCTGTTGCAAGCAGGCTTTAAACTGCGTACCGTCGGTTGCTAGCATGTCTACGTACTGCACGTTACGTCTCTTGGGATAAGAATGTGGGTGTAGGACTTGTTCAAAGCAAACTGAATGACGTGGTTCATTTCCGAGTCCATTTCCGACGTTGTGTTTGTTGTGCGGTAAATCACGGCTAGTAGACCACGTAGTCGCAGACATTACTCATCCGTTCTGAGAGTTTTCAACAAGTCTACGTAGATACTTTGATAGATTCGCGCTGTAATCAAAATCCAGTTGTTAAAATTTTGGTGAATTTAAATAAAATAAAGTTCGCTACTCATTGCGTAAGGAAAATCGTTACCATTATATTGTCACGGTCTGTCCCCAAACTCACATCATTGAGGAGGAGGTCATGAGCTTCAGCGTTTCATTCAAGTAGCTGACAGCCCTACTGAGCTACGATGTATCGTGGTCACTTTGTGAGAATGGGATATTCACCGAAATCAAGTCACCGTCATTTTATGTCACTCTCTTGCGACCATCCTCCGTCTTCCACAATCGGACATGGCAATTCCTCACATTTATCCTCCCCCGGGTTATCATACGGGCCTATTGACAAGAAGGCAGTCGTCATACTATAGTGGCTTTCCAAAATCATTGGTAACTTGGATCACTATAACTAGTCATCTTTCGTCTAGCAAAAATCTCGATTAAAACTACTGTCTGTCAATGACATTTCGCACAGGACACTGGATCGCTGTAGATCTACTTCAACCTCAAACACGTCCAGACCGCAAGGCGGTCTACGCTTTCTTGTGTTGCTGTATTTACATAGCCCCTGTCTAACCCTAACGCTTTCCTCGTAGAATTAACTAGTGCAGTTTGCCAGTGAAGAGGTGCTACAAAGGCGAGGTTGCATTTTGCTGCTACGCATATTATACTCGGTTTATTATATCGAATATGTATGCTTCGCAGTGAAACATCCATGTTTATTGATGCGTAAAGGCGTACTTTTGAATGGATGGATTTAATTTCGACCACTTCCAGAGGCATGTCCTAAAGAGTGGGAAAATACGCAACACCTGAATTTGGTCGACCAGAGCATTTTAACTAGAGCTAACTTAAAATGTTGCGCACGCCTACAAAGTAATATTTTCTTGTGATGAGCTTGGGCGTAAACGTCGCTTGTCTGTGTAGAAGCATACTGAATACGCCTGAACCCACGTGCATTTTGTGACATCCCATACTGAATCACGCAGTTAAAGGAAGGGTGTCAAACCTGTAACACGAGTACAGGCGAACAAGAAAACCACATTAACCACTCGGTAAATCTTCCCTGACATTTCTTGGCATCTATGCCAAATATGAACTAGCCTTTTTCTCTACGTGAAATAGCTGGACCAATTGTATGTAGCCAAATCATCCTGATGTGTGCCGAGGTCATTACTCAGAGTTAGTTTATTTGCAACCTCAATGATTGACACCACAGTCACACTGGACCCTTCATTTTTATCATAACTTTATTACCTGGCCTTCTAGTTCAGGACAAAGTTGAACGTTGCTTATGCAATTATAAAAAGACAATAAAACGGTCACCGCATGTAGTAAACATTAATCAGCTGATGCGACCGAATGCTGAACACAACCCTTATATTTGTCAGTAATCTAAGACATACGTGAAGTAGAAGACGTCGCACTGGACTGTGCTGTTGTGCGTTGTACATACCAATGCATTTGAGGTAAAAGTGGCGCTCATTTGAATGCATGGGATGTGTGGATCTGTTGATCCACAGAAGCCGCAACGACAAAGCTTGGGTAACGCAACCAAACCAAACATTGCGACGAAACTTTTCGGCTTTCTACTGCGAGGGGACTTTAATCTGATTCCGGGGCCTAGAGCTAACCCGAGTTTTTCGTAATCATGCTGCGCGGGTTTGAGACTGCGTTGGCGCAGCGTGACCGTCGCAGTGTACTTAGCCTCCGTGCAACCGGTGGTGGTCGCGCCGCCGCTAAATGTTGGTAATGCGTACCAGAATACTGTTGATGCCTTAGCCATTAACGCTGATTTCATATCTGAAATCCGGTTTTCTCTGCCTATTCCGGTTTTCATGCATTTTATTGTTTTACGTGAATGGAAAATGGTCCACCAGTCCACTTCGCTTACAGAAGTTACCATGTTTCACTCAAGTGGATTAACGGTTCAAATGAATGTAGTGCACTTAGTTGAACAACAAACAATGAAAAGTGATATGTTACATGTAAAAAAGCGATTGCTTTACAAGTCCCATAGGATGGTTGAAGTGAAAGTAAACACAAGTGTAAATCATCAGTTTAAGCGTCTAGTGAATTCAAGTGCCCCTTATTCATAGAAACGTTGTAGAATATGTACTGAATTGTTACTGTAGAGTAATATGGGAAGTAATGTGGGTAAGGCATGTCTTAAGAACAAGAAAAACGACCAAAGCTTACTCGTGCGCCGCTTTTTGGACTGGGGGAAATTGATGAATGCAGTTTTAATATATGCGAAACTATATTCCACAACAGCAGTGTGTAAATAGTGAAGCACAAAAGCTGGGAATGAGCACCGCTTTTTTCGCGTTTGTTTGATGTGGACATCTCTGATTATATAGCGTAATGTAAGGGGATAAGCGAATCATCCAGACGTCTTTTGAATACCGCTAGCGTGGGGGAAGAAACAAGATATGTGGGAAGAGCGTTCCAGTGTCGACACACACATAAGGAACAGAAATTCTGGCGGCATTCCAACCGCCTGCATTGTGTGTCCAGCT